AGCCCTACATCAGTGCTGGTGTAACTTCTTGGACCTTCTCACATGGGAGGAGAGTGAACAGCAAGCACCGTCTATCTGGTGGCTTGTTTCAGTTCTACTTCTCACTGCTCAGCCTCTAGAACCCTTGTTAACAGACAGGACAGTGGGGCCCTTACTGCCCCTTTACACAGCACTTGGGTGAGAATATCCCTTACAGGATCCCAGGGAATCTTCTTCTAACCCCAAACCTACCCCGAGAGGTCCCACGTCCTTTCTCTTTCAGAAAGCCCATCCCTGTCAGCATCCCATCCTCGTCTACAGAAACTGCCAAGAACTGTGAAAGGTCTGAAGTCTTACTCTGCTTGCAGACTGACTAGTTAGCTTGCCACGGCTGCATGGACACTGGAAGAAGACACAAGACTCCCCAGGGACAAAGGACTTTATTGCTCACAGCACAGCAGGCAGTATTAGCTTCATTCATTCTTATGTCCATTCCTTTTGCTCCCCAAATCTCATGGGGGTGATGCAGAAGTAGGAGCAGGAAGATACTGTGCGCTCAGAGAGTTTGTGTCACAGTTTAGGAAACTCGAGCTTGTGGAATCCTCAGCTTTTATAATGGGCTGCAAGCAAACCTGCCGACCTCTGTCCTGGAGGGACACGCTATCTTTATTTTAGTGGACAGTGAACAAGCCTTCCCCCTGCTACACAGACAGCATCTCTGTGTTCATACAAGAGCTTGCTCTGTGCATCCTCCCTATGGTGGTTCCAAACTCTGCTACACTTTCCAAGACTTTCTGCTCATGTTTTTTAGCCACTCACCCTGTATTCAGCAAAGGACCTCAGGAAAAAGCCAGATAGGATGCACTTCAGGCCCCCCAAGTCTTGCTGCTGAAAGCTTTTCTGGATTCTCCTTGAAGTGGAGAATTCTCTCCACCAGGCTTTGCACCTATGCTACATTTGTGTTCTCACCCTCCCGCCCCTCCTTAGATTTTGCAAATACCCCCAGGGTAAAAGCAGCTACAGGTGCTGGCTCACCTCTCTGAGGTTTTCCTTTTTCTTTTTCTTCTTTTTTTTAATTTCAGAATATTATGGGGGTACAAACATTTTGATTGCATATAATGCCTTTGCCTTTCTAGAGCTACAATCTCTAGTTTCTTAGCCCCTTTCATTCTCAGTGCCTCCGCAGCTTTTAGCTGCCCTTCCAAAGATGATTTCTGTATTTGATCGCTTTTCTCATAGGCAGACAGGCAGGTTTGCCCTTGGCTACTCCATCACTCCTGGAAGCAGGAGACTGCAATGGATTATTTTTTAATGTTAATCCAATTCCTATCCCTGGAATAAATCCAAATTTAATGTTGGCAATGCGATGATTGTTTAATGTACTGCTGGATGTATGTGCTAAATATTTTCTATTTAGCAATTTTGTTTATAATTGTTGTCATGTTTATTAATGAGAGAAACTGACTTACAATCTTCCTTTTCCTGTAATGTCCCTGGCAGGTTTTGGCATCAAAGTTGTGCAGCCCCTCACAAAACAAGTTGGGAAAAGTTCTCAGATTTTCTATTCTCTGTTCTCTTCTTCGATGTGTGGAGAAGTTCAGAGATAACGCTATTTGGGTCTAGAGTTTTGTTTGGGGGCAAGGTTTTTAATTACAAATTCAGTTTTTTTAAAGGATAGAGAGCAATATATATTTTCTAGTTGTCCTTCAGTCTGTTTTGGTGAATTGTGTTTTTTAAGAAATTTGTCCATTTTATTTAACATTTTCAAATGTATTATCATACAATTATATATAACATACATGTTATGTTTATATATACATTATATTTAATGTCTGTAGAAAATGTAGTGATGTTTCATTTTTCATATATGATACTGAAAAATTGTTCTTCTCTCTCTTTTTCTGATAAGTCTAAAGTAACAGTTGTGTTACTTGTTTCATAGGACCAACTTTTGGCTCTGATTTTCATAATTTATGTTTGTTTTCCATACCACCGATTCCTTTTCTACTTCAGCCTATATTTTTTAGATTAAATTGCTATTGCTAGCTTTGTGGACATTTGCATTTATTTTCCAGCCTTTTTTCTTTTCTAATATATGCACTTAAAACTATTACTTAAGCTCCCCTATAAGCATGGCTTTAGTATATCCCACAGATTTTGATAACTCATATTTATTATCATTCAGTTCAGAATACATTCTAATTTCCTGTGTGACTTCTTTGATTCATGAGTTCTTTGAAGGATGCTACATAATTCCCAGTATATGGGGGATTTTCTGCTTTTTTAATATCTCTCATTGATTTCTAGCTTATTTTTACTGTGGTCAAGCACATACTCTGAATGATTTCAAATCTTTTATAGTTTGTTGACACTTTCTTTACAGCCCCATCATGTGGTCAATTTTGGAAAATTTTCCATGTGATTTAAAAAGAACATATATTTATTCTGTGGCTCATAGTTACAGTGTTGTATATATGTCAGCTGAGTCATGGTCTTTCATTATGTTTAATCTCTACTGGGTTTTTCTGGTCTGTTACTTCTATCATTTATCAAGAGATTTCTGTTAAAATCTCCAGTTTGACTGTGGATTTATCTATTTCTGTTTTGATCCTATCAATATTTGTTTTATATGTTCTTAGGCTAAGTTTTAGGTGCATACAAATTTAGTATTGTTATATTTTCCAAATGAATTTATTAGTTATCATAACTCTTTATCAGTTAACTGTTATCAATAATTTTTAATAATGTCATTTTTATCCAATATCAACAGAACTTCACCAGTATTACTTTTGCTTAGTCTTGAATGGTATGTCTTTTTCTTTCTATATAGTTACTGTTAAATTTCTGTGTTGTTATATTTATTTGTCTCTTGTCAGCAGCATGTAGTTGTTTTATAAGCAAGGCTCACAATCTTTATCTCTTGTTTCATGTACGTGTAACATTTTTAATTTTTATTTATTTTTCCAGATGTATGAGATATAATTAAATTATACAAATATACAGATAAAAATTGTGTATAGTTATGGTGTATAACATGATGCTTTGATATACTTATACATTGTGAAATTATTACTACAGTTAAGCTAGTTAACATAACCATTACCTCACATCCTGATGTGTGTGATAAGAACATTTGAGATCTACTCTCTTAGCAAATTTTAAATATACAATATATATTATTAACTATAATCACCACGTTATACACATTGGATCTTCAGAACTTGTTCATCATACATAAGTGAAACTTTCTTTCTTTTAATTGGAGTATGTAATTCATTTACATTTAATATAAATACCAGTATATTTTGGTTTAAGCCTATTATCTTGCTTTAAATCTAAATCTATTATCTTGCTGTTTGTTCTGTTGTTGATGTTGTTGTCTTTCTTTTTGCCTCTCTCATACTCTTTTGAGTTATCTAAGGATATTTATCATTCTGTTATCCCTTCTATTAACTTGTTTGATTTCAGTAGTTACCCTACAGTTTGCAAAATGCATCTTCTAGTTATTAGAATGTACCTTACATTGGCTTTTACCACTTCCTGGTTGATGTAAAGGCCTTAGAATTTGTGTCATGTATTACTCCCATATTTTGTGCTATTGCTATCACATGTTTTAATTCCACATATAATTTAATCCCTGCTTTAAACAGTCGATATTTATTTATATTTACCAACATATTTACCCTTTCAAATCTCTTTATTCATTCCTTTTGTTTACTTTGCTTCCTTCCAGGATCATTTTTCTTCTGCCTTTAATATTTTCACTGCAGGTCTAATGGTAAAAAATTTCTCTCTTTCTTATTTATGAAAGGTACAGAATTCTAGATTGGTAATAATTTCCTTTTTACAAAAAAACTTGCTACAATTTTGATAGGGACTGCATTTGATCCATCAATAAATTTGGAAAGAATTTACATCTTTACTATATAAATAGTCTTCTAATCCATGAAAATGATATGTCCATTTGTTTAGATCTTTGGTTCATTTCATTAGCATTTTATAGTTTTCAGTATACAAATATTGGACATGTTTTGTTAGATCTATACCTAAGTATTTAAATTTTTGAGTGATTGTAAATGATATTATAGTTTTTAATTTCCCATGGATTCCCATGTGATGTTTGGCTGGAATAGAATGGATAATGTCTAAGCAGTTACAATCCTGTTTAGCTGCCCCTTTCCTGGTATTCTGTCTAGAGGGAACATGCTTTTCCTTTTCCCTTTATTCTTTTTTGTTTTTTCCTGTCTGCTCTCATTGTTTTTTCTAGGTTGCCAGTCTCTCCAGTATCAAATTGGGTAATTCTTATGTTCTACCTTTACATTCACTGATTATTCCTTCTGTTCTCTCCATTCTACTTTTGAGCTATACAAGAAATCCAGGGAACCTACCATTATGTTGTTCCTCAAGTCCTGAGGTCCTTTGCCAGTCTTTCACCTTCTCTGTACTTTTCAGAGTCTTCTTATATTATTTTGTACATAATGTCTAGAGCTTTTAGTTGTACTTAGATGGAGGAATGGGATAAACTACCTCTATTCTATCTTCCCAGAAGTAGAAGTCTCCAGATGTAAGCGTTCATGAAATTTAACATGACTACACCTAAGTAGCTATAATGGTTTTGATGTATTAAATAAAATATAAAACATACTTTCAAAGGTACATATGCATCAAAAAAAGGATGATTGAAGAAAAAAGTTACTTTCAGGAGGAGAAACTGTGCTCAAGAACATTAAAGAGAAACTTTATAATTTGTGTAAAATATGTTCCCAGATCCAAAGAGCAAAGGCTTTGGTTTTGAGTTTCTTAATCCTCTTGCTAGGTGATGGGAGGAATTGGGCCTGTCTTATCTCAGGGGAAAAAATAAATCCATATTTTATTTAAGAAAAAAGTAGCCATAACATTCTACCTTTCTACTGAAATCCTCTAGAAAATATTTTACCAATGTCTGTGTCTACTTAGCAAATACACTCCCAATGGTTCCTGCCTTTTTTGGGATTCTATTCTAAAGGGAGCTTCTGTTCCAGGTCGCCTGAACTGGTGGTCCACTGTGTGCACGAGCTGTAAACGGCTTCTTCCTTTGGCCACGACAGGGGACGGGAACTGCCTTTTACATGCCGCCTCACTGGGTAAGCTCCGCAGCACAGAGGGTGGCAGGGCTCCAGGCCTGCTCAGTGCATTATTAAAGGGCAGACATATGCAAAGTAAGGCCACCTATGTCACCATCATCTGGAAGAGTCCCTAAGACATGGAGCCCAACAGTCCTGACCTATTTTGTCAAGTAGCTCACACTTGGTGGAAAGACAGAACACACACGAGAAGAGGCCTGTCATGATAGGTGGAGGCCTTGAGCTTGAGCTTCAGGGTTGGGAATTAGAAATCATGGCCTGGAGCAATCAAAGAGGACTTTCTGGAGGAGGTAGGATCTTTTCTGAGATTTGAAGAACTTAAAAGAATAGAAGAAAAGACGTTCTCGGTGGGGAGACCACATGGATAAAGCAGAGAGGCAGGGATGCACAGGGTGTTTGGAGGCAGGGCTGAGCCAGGGGAGGCTCAAATAGGAAGTTTGGAGAATGGTGCATGAGCTTGGGAAAATGCAGAGCCACCATAATGACAGCCGTCAATAGTTGGCTTGGGCTCAAAAGGAACAACTGGTTATGAGCTCTGGGCAGGGGATTCCCAGAGGAGCACCTGACGGCCGTGACTGACAGACAGACGTAGGTACTGCTGGGGTGAACCACGGGGGAATCTGCACAGTTACAATAGACAGCAGAGAGTTAGCAACCTCTTCCGATGGGGCTGTGAGCTCCCTGCTCGCAAAAAGCTGCACAGCAGGCATGGAGGGCAATGTTTGGATGACTGAAGGTCATAGTAGATTTTCTGCAAGCTCAGTTATCTCCTTCTAGGCCCAAACTCACGGGTTCAAGGCTGAATCCATTTTGACAGGTGAGTTTGAGTTTGAGCCAGGGTTCCCGACATCAGGGCCAGTTGTTACTCATCAGCCCTGGAGGGTAAATAGAGTCTTTCCAGGAGACAGGCCCCTCGGACAATGTGGCCCTTGTCGGTAAAATACGCTTCCCCGGGGAAACATGACAGCAAGGGCCAACCCTCAGAACTTTCTTTGGACCAAGAGGAGACCATAAAGGGCTTTCCCGGGTCTGAGAAGGGCCCAGCAGCGCCCAGGGGAGGCTGCAGACTGAGAGCAAGAGGAACATTCCGCAGGCTTGACCCGCAGCGGGAAAGGCAGACATGCCCTCCCACCTGCGTCCTCCCCATGTCCCCGCGAGCACGTCCTGCTCGTTGGCACTGTAAAAGTGCTGCGTAGTCATCATGGTAAGAACATGACAATCAGTAATTGCACCACCCAGCTATGCCACTGTGAACAGTGTGGTATGTTGTCTTCCACTCTTCGGTCTGTTCTTCGAGTGAAATGATGATTATCCTGTGTCCACAGTTTGAATCCAACATTTTCCCTTCAAAATTTAATTGAGAATTTTCCATGCTATTATGCTCCAAACACATGATCTTAGTAGTTAGGTTATATTTCATCATAATAGTTAATGCTGTTTCCCTATTGTTGAACATATTTTACCAAAAGAAGAAATCGCTCATGTGTCTGAAACAGCAGCTTCATTGCTAAGTCTCGGGTGTGGACGTGCCTTTGTCCTTGAGCTACTGCAGCATGTAGAGTCACTGTCCCTGTCAGCACCACAGGTGGGCAAATCGGCACTGACTGACGGCAGGTTTTTCCCGGTGAGCACGGGGCCCCCAAGCCTGCCGGAAAGGGAGCACCTCCTCAGGCTAGACGCGCTCCACCTGCAGGGAGGCTGGGCCGAGACTCCCCAGGGCTGCTCTGAGAGTTTCCAACAGCGCAGCAGTGAGCCCAGGGCTCTTCACCAGTTGTTCCTTTTATCCCAGTTTGTTTTCATTTCGTGCTCACGTAGCTAAACTCCACAGGACCAGGACTGCCCAAAGCAGCCATGTGACATTCACCAGCAGGGCTCGTTGGAAACCTGCTGACCAAGCCTGCCATTGAGCTAGGGTTGGGGGCACACACAGAAATGACGATGGCAATCCTGGAGCCAGGCTTGTAGGCAGACACCAGTGGGACCAAGAGCCCCTCTCTGCAGGAGCCGAGACTGCCTACCATGTCCCGGGAGGCAGCTGACACAGGCCTGAGGATGGGCAAGGAGCAGGGATGGCCACACGCCCCATCCATCCTGTACAGAAAGGCAAAGCCTTGCTCGCTTGAAAGCCCGAGGCAGTCCTTGGTGATCACATGTCCGAGGACACACAGTCAGCGTGAGCCTTTAAACATCAGTCCGCTCACGCCTCTCCTCTTCTGAAATCTTTCCTGAGGCTCCCAGCAAGCGCACCATGCAGTCCCTGCCTCGGCCCCCTGATCCCGGCTCTAGCCACCATTCCCTCTTGACTTTTCTCAAGGACACCCCACAGACACCCCTCTGGGCCTGTCCCTGGCCTTTCCCTGTGCCTGGGACAGCCACTCGGCTCCCTCTGTCACCCATTGTGGCCTTTGCTCCAGTCGATGACGTCTCCACTCACATTGTGACAGATACACCCACCACTCTGCGCTCTCTGCCTGCTTCATTTCTCCTGACATCATACACTGCATGCTAACTTCATGGCTGCCTCACTTCCCACTTTGCCACAATGTGTGCTCCATGAGATTTTGGAAACTTAGTATGTCCTGGTCACTTCCATGTATATTCTCAGCACCTTGAGGAATGAATGAATGAATGAATGAATGAATGAATGAATGAATGAATGAATTCCCCGTGGCCAGCACTGCCTGTCTCTTGGTGCTGCCCCCATGGATTGGATTTCTTGACCACATCTGAGCCGCCCAGGGCACATGCTCAGAGACGGCTAGTTTGTCTCAACAGCCGGCACGGGAGAGACCGTCTCACTGGGAAGCAGGTGTGCTCTCTTGGGCCAGATGTGCGCCGCGGCGTCCGCTGACGCTGCTTGTTAGGAAGCTGGGATGCCCCAAGGCTACAGACACTGGAGAAGCCAGGATGCTAAAAGGCCCTGTGCGAGGACACATCACAAACGTATCCCCCTAGGCAATCTCCCACCCGAATGCAAGACCTGGACGGTGACCATTAGGCCTCTCAGGAAAAAGAATGGACAGGAATTATGAGCTAATGATGAAAACGGAGCAGCTGATGAAGGAGGCACCTTTGTGCATGCAGACACGGGAGGCCAGCCCAGTGGTCAGGGTGGTTTGAGTCACCTCTAGCTTGTCCCCTCCTCATGTCCTTTCTCTCCTCTGCTCCCCATGGCCTCCGTCTGCAGGAATGTGGGGTTTTCACGACCGGGACCTGGTGTTGCGGAAAGCTCTCTACACCATGATGCGGACGGGGGCCGAGAGGGAAGCCCTGAAGCGGAGGTGGAGGTGGCAGCAGACGCAGCAGAACAAGGAGGTTGGTACCCGCCGGCGAAGGCAGAGCCCGGACCCACGCCAGGCCCCGCCTCAGGCCCTGGTGGAATCCAGAGCGTGGCCCCCATGCCCAAACCCGTATTTCCACACTTTGGCCCATGGAAGAGGATCCCCATCACAATAGCACGGCCCCAGCAGACTGTGACCACATGTCCACTCACACCTCCTTGAGGTGTAATTGTGAAGGCCATCCGCCTCCATTCCCCAAAGTGCCCCAGCTTGGACAGTGCATTGCGTGGTCACCCGCTGTCTGTACCACCCACAGCCCAGCCCCCATGTGTGAGCTCAGTCCAAAGAAAATCCCCGTCATCCCTGGCCATGGCGAACACGAGCGCTTTGCCCTCCTGGAAAAAGATTCTGTCTGCTTTGCGATTGAAACTGGCCCGTTATCCCTGTCAGCTTTTTAATGGCCATCCCTGAGCTAGGTGCATGCCCAGGAACGTTGGTCTACCCTACAGCATGGGGATGACCTTTGTTGGTGGGTGGACTCCCAACAGCTCTGAAATTAGATATGGGGGTTTCTGAAAATATATTGTCCACAGCAAGCAGTGGGGAGGCTGTGGCCAATGACACATGTGCCCAGCCTGGGCGCTGGTGGGGCTTGGATGGAGCCAGACGGTCGGCGCAGCTGGCCCAGGCCCGCCTTGGAGGGAGGGTGAGGAGACGGGGCAGCACCGCTGGGCCCACCCCCACCTCCTCGCACTGCCCTTTGTGCCAGTCAGGGCTGGTGTACACGGAGGAGGAGTGGGAGCGAGAGTGGACGGAGCTGCTGAAGCTGGCCTCCAGCGAGCCGCGCACGCACTTCAGCAAGAACGGCGGCACGGGCGGGGGGTAAGTGCGGCCCCTGCTCTCCCCAGAGGTCACCTCGAGCCCCTGGCCACCCGGGGCCGCAAGCAGCATGGCGGGTGGTGTGGGCAGAGCTCGGAAGCTCCTTCCCGGAGCTGTGGAAGACAGGACTCCAGCTTTCGAGCATTAGATTCCAGACAGGGCACACGGGAGGGCTGTGGGCACGGGCTGGCCCCTGCCAGACCCTGGAAGGAAGCGTCCGCAGCCCCGCGAGCATTCCGCAGGCAGAGGCGGGCTCACCGGGCTGCCCCCGGGCCCCTCACCCTTGACCTCGCCGTGCAGAGTGGGCGGCGGCGGGCTGTGGCAGAGGCTCAGGGCACAGCCAGCTCTGGAGGTGGCGTGTGATGGTGGCTGTCCCGCACACCACCATTGCACAAACCAGGCTCGCAACCCGCAGCTGCTGGGTTTGGGGTTTTTTCCCCAACTAAATAACTAGTTTGTGGCTTCAAACAGTCACACTGAAAGTAAAAGTTCATTAAGCTAGCCTGGCGCTTCCAGAGGGCTCCGTAGTTGTTATACACGTCCCAGCCAAAGGGCTTCACAGCCGCACACATTGGGGACCAGCTTGCTTCTGCAGACACAGCTGCCGTGCTCTAGTATGGAACGAGGAGTGCCGCCCAGCGAGACGGCCACGCAGTCTTTGGCCACGACGTATTCTTTGGCTCATGCTGTTTGAACCTGAAAGCAAAAGTGTTGCTCCTAGGAAAGGTCTCAGCCAAACACGAGAAAGTACAAGTGTTGACAGCAAGGAGACCCACAAAAAGGACCAGAGGACGGCATGCAGCTCTGGGTCACCCTCGGGCTCACAGGTCCCACAGCCGCCATCTGGGTCCTCACCCACCCGCCGCAGAGGGGCCGCCGGTCCCTCGCTCAAGGCCCCCTGCTGCAGGCCAGGCTCCAGCAGGGTCTGCAGCACCAGCAGCTGCGCCGGGACGGTGCTCAAAGATGAGACCCTCGGAAACCACGAACCCAAGTGCACGACTCCTGCAGGGTTGTGCCGTCACCTTGTTTTAGCAATGTGGCAGGTCAGCACCGACAGTCTGTCTTGTTTAGGGTATTTGGGGACAAGCATGCTGAAGACTCCAGGGGCTCCTGGAAACTCTGCTCTCTTCTTTTTCAGGCTGGGGAGCCTGTGGCCTCGGGGCCACATGTGGCCTTCTGGATCCTTCAGTGCAGCCTTTTGACTGAACCCAAATTTTACAGAACGAATCCTTCTAATAAAGGGATTTGTTCTGTGTAGTTTGGATTCGGTCGAGGGGCTGCAGATGGGGATCGAGAGGGCCACATGGGGCCCCGGGGCCACAGGTTCCACAGCCCTCGGCATCTTTTTCTCTGTTGTCTCTCCTGCTCCTGCCACAGGCAGACCCAGTAGGTGCTGGCGGGTTGGATCCAGTCCAGCTATCTCTGCCCAGGTGGGAGGGACAGGAAAGACAGCAGCAGTAATGACAGTGAGGACCCCGTCCAGGAGGAGCTGTGCCCACAGTCCGTGGTTGGTCAGCCTGTGTGACTTCTCATTGCCCTCACTGCCTGCTCCCTGGGCCCCGAGGGGGTTCAGACTCGAATGGGAGTGGAGGAGGCGTGTGGTGTTGCCCTAATCTCCCCCTCATGGGCAGAACAGGGCCACAGCAGAGAGGGCCTCCTCGGTGACACAGATGGAAGCTCTCTCATTCTCTCTGTCCCTTCTCTCCCCCTCACCCCTTAAGCGCTGAGCGGCGCAGGGAGCTGTGGGCCCTGGGCCAGTGGCGGAGACCTGCCCCTGCGGCTCCCTCTGTCAGTCGGACCCTCCCCCTCCTCTGTGGACTCCCGAAGACCTTGCCAGGTCCTCACACCCCCTTCACCTTCAGCTTGGTTTCAGTTTTAAAGATAAAAATGCTCCTAAGTCAGGGGCAATCAGTGATGGGTGGAAGATTATTTTTTCTCAAGACATTTCCTGGTCGTTTGAGTGCCCTTCGCTGTAACACGGACCAGCAACCCATGGGTGTGTGGTGCTGGATTTCAGGGCTGTTGGTGCCCTCCTCCCCCTGGGGGACAGGGGCCTGGGCAGGGGCCAGACAACAGCCAGTGTGGGCGGGGACTCGGAATCCCACCAGGCACAGAAGCACTCCCTCCTCTATCACCTGCACAGACCAGGGCCAGAAAGCTCTGTCTGGCATGGTGCCCCAACTCTCGTGGGTTTTGAATGGTTTCAGGAGCTCAGATCCTTCCCCCGTGGCCTCTCATGCAGGGCTGGGGGTTGTCTGGCCCAGTGTCTGCAGCTGCACTGGCTGGTCCCCCAGATCCCACAGCAGCGGGTAAATCCCAGGAGGCAAGCGCTCCGAGAACCAAGGCTGTCTGGCTATGTCATGCCACTGCTGTCAATGTGTGGGGAGCTCCCCCGAGACACAGCCTTTTTGTCATCTCACATGACCTTTACACCCTTATCATCCCCTCTGAGTAACTCTCCAGGTGTTTCTTCCCCCCTCCCCCCGCCCCTGGGAGAGGTCCCCCTGCTGCGGGTCCTACCTTCCACACGGCACTCAGGGCCTCCTGCTCCCCACGGGAGGCACTGGGGCTGGGTCCTGGTGACCATGGTCTGCACTCGTGCCTGGGACCTGTTCCATCTCTGATGACAGGAGGGCAGACAGTTCCCACCCAGGGAACACGCATAGCAACGTCTCAGGGGCTGCTTGGAGCAGGTGGCCATTCACACTGTTGCCTGGGCATCATCAGGCTTGTCCCCTGACACAGCCATCTCCTGATTTTCAGCCCATTCCCCATTAGACACTCTGACTTTTGATTCTTTATGTTTCTGTTTTGTTTTTTTTCCTTTTACAATGAGCATGAATTCCTTTTGTTATTAAAAAGTGCCAATGAAAATGCTTACTTGCAAAACATTCAATAGTAGGTCTGAGTGATCAACCATAATCTGACTAAAGGATCTGGGTCCCTTTATGAGTCTCTGCGATGACCCAGACACTGCCCCATCCGTGAGTGATAGTGTGGTCCCTGGGCCTGGCACTCGCAGTTCTGGTGACCACATCGTAGGAGGGAAGGAGGAAGCTGGGAGTCAAGAGAGGGGAAAACAGACAGCCAAGGGTGGGATAGGCGTGTCCCCAGTTAAGAAAAGAAGGGAAACTGCTCATTCTGGAGAGATGGGGATGGAAAGTGTGGTGGTGTTGGGACGCTGGATGGAGGTGGGTGAGTCCCTCAGGCACAGTGGGACAAGGCAGGGGGACAGTGGCACCTTGGTCAGGCCCTGCACTGGGCATTCCATGTCCTGCAAGCCTGGAGTACCCTTCTCATAGACTGGAAAACTGAGACCCGAGGAGACTAAGTGTCCCAAGACCACAAGCAGGAGCCAAGCAGTCTAATTATCATTTTGTGGAGAGGCACAGAGGCTCACACCTATAATCCTAGCACCCTGGGAGGCCGAGGCGGGAGGATTGCTTGGGATCAGGAGGTTGAGACCAGCCTGAGCAAGAGTGAGACTCCATCTCAATTAAAAAATAAATAAATTAGCCGGACATGGTGGCATGTGCCTGTAGTCCCAGCTGCTTGGGAGGCTGAGGCAGGAGGATCACTTGAGCCCAGGAGTTTGAGGTTGCTGTGAGGTAGGCTGACGCCATGGCACTCTAGCCTGGGCAACAGAGTGAGACTCTGTCTCAAAAAAAAAAAAAAAAAATTATCATTTCTCTTTTGACTGGGCTCTATGACCCTCAAATACAACGGAGTCTGTAGAACCTCAGGCGATGAGTCAGCCTGAAACAAAGCCACCACTCTGGGCTGGAGTGACAACAGTGAGGACACAGTGCCTCAGTCCCCAAGCAGGGGCAGGTAATTCTGAGCAGGGGTGTGCTAGAACTGCAGGAGGAATTTGCTCTGAAGATCCTACTTGCAAATTCTCTGTGGCCAGAACAAGTCGAAACCAGATGTTCAGTGCTGGTGCTGCTGCCGAGACCCGAGACACCACGTGCAGAACGTGCCTCCAACAGGGGCTGCTGCCGGGGAATGTACGGTCCTCTCCAGCCAAGAGTGAACTAGCTTTGCCATCACCAGAGCTGCCATTCAAGCCCAGGTGAGGGGCTTTGGGAAGAGGGATGCTCCCCAGAAGAAAGACCTAGAAGAAAGAAGGATAATTCCATCCCAAGCTTTGCAGTTCAGTGCAGAAACCAGTTCTGTGGTGAGGCTGCCCATGACCAGCAAGCGCACACGGCTCCTGGCCCCCGCGCCATGGACACTCTGAGGAAAAAGGGTGGTGCATAGTAAGAGGAGCCCAGTTACTTGCTCTGAAACTGAGAACAGCTCCAAAAGCAATTAGTGAAGGTGTCAGGGTACTTGTTCTAGTTCCAGGCCAACTGAGATACGAGAATAAGGAAAAGGACCCTGCCTTGTAGACGCTGGCCTGAGACCCAGACTTAAATGGCTGAGTTTGATGCCAGCTTGGACACGTGACCTTGAACACGTCTCACAAGCCCTCTGAGCCTGTTTTGTTCATTGGTGACATGCACTTGGTACTACCGTCCATGCCAAGCTATCAGCTTTTGATGGGTGTATAACAAACCACCACAAAACTGAATGGCTTAAAGCAGCAGCCGTTAGATTTGCTCATGTCCTATGGATCAGGAGTCTGGCCTGGAAGTGCGTGGAGCCCCTCGTGAGATGTAGCCGGGTGACAGTTCATCTGGATGGGGCTGGATAGTCCCAGAGAGCTTCACTCACAGGCCTGGGGCTGGGAACTGGCTCTCAGCTGGGCCTCTCTTTGCATGGGCTTTTGTCCTTGCAGAGACCCAGGCTCTACGACACAGTCCCAGGGCAGCTCCCAACGTGCGGATGCATCTCTAGCCTCTGCTTGCATCACGTGTGCTGATGTGCCTCCGCCCAGGGCAAGTCGGGTGGCCTAGCCAGCCTGAGGGTGGAGAGAAAGGCTCTGTCTCTCGATGGAAGGAGGGGCGTCGCCACGTTGCAGAGAGGCGGGCACAGAGGCGGGGAGGCCGGCGTGCAGTCTG